ATAGATCAGGCACATTTTTTGAGAATGGGGAAACACAGACATGTTTATATGGAATAGGAAAGCATCAGGAGACAGGGAGAGAATGAAGATCATTAAAAGAGTGAGGATGACGTTGTTTCTAATTCTTCTTTACAACATGACTAATGTGAAAATAGGTTCAATATAAATGTATAAGCCTCTATCAAACTGCACAGTGTCTTGGGGAGGAGAGGGAAGAGATTGGAAGAAAATTTGGAACTCAAAATGCTGAAAACTATAAATAAATAGTGAGGATGATACAGGGAGAAACACTGGAGAAAATGAGTTGGAATGAAATCAGACTACTAAATAGATACTTAAGTATGAATATCTAATTTACCTTGTTTTCTTTGCTAATATAGTCCAGCTGTAAGCACCATGGATGAGTCCAAATTCTGCTTAATATTTGAAAATCCTGGAAGAGTTTTGTTCCTCCTTTTCCTCTTCCTCCTTCTCTAGTACTTCCTGTTCCTGATAATAAAAGGCATGTAAGTTAAAGTTTAAAATGTTCAAATTTTTTCACTAGAGAAAGTCATGAATACCACGGTCTAGAGTTTCAACAAGAATCTAAATATATCATAAATGTTTAATAGATTTGGAGGGAGGTAAAACTATTGACATTAAAAAGATCTTATTACTTGTGACTCAATACTTATTAGAGAAATATATCAAATACAAGACAAGGGTTGCCTATACAGGAAAAGTTGATAAAAGTTTAGGAGTAGGAAAAACAGCAGATGCACAACTGTGTCTAGATCAAGGTTAGAACCTGGAAAATCTAATTGTGAGATGACTCTAGAATACTAGAACGTTTTTATTTGGAATCATTAATTCACTTTACAATTTTTTTCTTTATGATTACATAACTTATTTAATACCATTCTTTCTAAACACTTCCCACCCTTTTACCAGCAATGGCTTTCATTACTATTTTTCACAATTACTTATTTAGGTATAACTTCCTTTCCTCTGTTATTTTTTCTCATACTTTGATCTTTACGAATAAAACGTAAATCCACACTACTATATCTTGGCTAGCTATCATCATCATTATCATCATCATCGCTAGTATTTATATAAAATCTACTATATTCAACACATTGTGCTGAGCACTTTACAAATATCTCATCCGATCCTCAAAACAACTCTAGGAAATAACTTCTTATGCACATTTTGCAATAAGGAAATTAAGGAAGTCAAGCTAAGTGACTTGCCCAGAGTCACAAAGAGAGTAACTATTTAATGCTGGATTTGAACTCAGGTCTTCCTGTCTGTAGGCCCAGCATTCCACCTAGCTCTGCTGAATTCTTATGCCCCAGTGTGATGCCCCAGTAATGGACATTTAGAACTAGTTAGCCTATAAACTGAATATTACCACAACACAGAACCCACCTATCCTCAGCTTTCCTATCACTTATGTGCAACCTTGGTGTCAATTCTCAATTCCTACTCATATATTCCACATGCACAATCACCTTCTAAATCATTTTCACTTCTCTCCAATCTCTTCTATTCTTTTAAACTACATAGATAAATCTCTTATCATCTTTCTATAGCCTTTCAATTGGTCTTACCATTTTACATCTCACCATTCCAATTCAATCTTCACCGAATAGATTATGTATTTGTCATTTGAGAGGTTTTCATAATATCAAATCTATTAATAATAAATTGTTATTTTCTTTGTTACATTTGAAGTTCCAAACTGTCTCCTTCCCTCCTTCCTACTCTGCACTAGAGAAGGACACCATTTGATAGATTTATAAACATATGTAAAACTATACTATACATACTATTATTTGTTACTTCTTACTCCTTCATAGGTCCTCTGTAGTTGATTTGAGTGTTTAACAGTTAACAGCCACGTTGTGCGATGACTAATATTGATAGACTTAGCCCTTCTCATCAGTGCAAGGATCTAAGACATCTCCAAAGGCCTCGTGATGGAAAGTGCTATCCACATCCAAAGAAAGAACTATGGAGTTTGATGCAGATTGAAGCATACTATTTGCTATTTTTTTTCTTTCTGTTGTGTTTTGTTTCCTCTTTCTGGTGGTTCTTCGTATTGGTTCTAATTATTCCTTATAACATCACTAGTGTGAAAAATATGTTTAATAGGAATATATATGTATAGCCTATATCAAACTGCACACCATCTCGGGGAAGGAGGTGAAGAGGGAGGGGGAGAAAAATTTAAAACTCAAAAGCTTATGGAAGTGATTGTTGAAAAATCAAAATAAATTTAAAAAGAGATATTTTCTTCATCTATTAATATAATCAAGCTGAGATATTCCTGATTCACAGTCCATCACTATAAGAGAAAGAGTGCTGGAAGAAAAAGAGGAGAGTGTAGGACAGCAATATGGAGAACAACAACAATTAGGGAAATGATGAATCAACAAAGTAGTATAGTCAGAAGGATAGGGGAAATAGCAAGAAAGGTAATAAGAGAATTAGGCATAGAAGAATCATGACAGAGTCCCATGAAAGGTAAAAAAAAAAAAGAGAGAAAATAATTAGAAGGAGGGAGTAATTAAGTGGTAAAAATATTTCAGAATCAAGAAAGTAGACAAAACCATTGATGAAGCTATGTAACTGCAGGTGAGATAAATTGTCAATCAATAAACATTGATTAAACACCTATTATTTGCTAGGTATTATGCTAAGAACTAAGAATGCAAAGAAAGGTAAAAGACAATCCTTTCTCTCAAAAACTTGTAGTCTAAAGGCAGAAGTAACTTGCAAATAATTTATATATTGGAAAAATTTGAAAATAATGACTAGTGGGAAGGCAGTAGAAATTAAGAAGGATCAGGAAAGGTCTCTTGTGGGAGGTGAGATTTTAGGAGGGATTTGAAGAAAACTAGGGTTATAGATGCAGAAAGCATGCCAAACCTGGAGAACGCAGAGAGAAAATGCCAAGAGTCAGAAGAATGAATGTACTGACCAAAGAACAGGACGATGTTAATGACTGAAGAGCACAGGGAGGGGACTGACAAACTGAATGATTAGAGAGGCCAGGTTATAAAAGGCTTTAAATATCAAATTATAAAGAATTTGGGGAAAAAAGAACTCCAAGATTTATGTATGTAAAGGGAAATAATTAAGGCCACAAGGAAAAAATGCAAAATGACAATTTAAAATATGTGATCACTAAAAGATGTCAAACTCTGCAATTTTAAAAATAAAATAATCATTTTAGAGACTAGATAATGGCACATATATCTCCTTTAGTCTATGAAAAAAATAGACTATAGGAATTAAGACACAATGTTGCATACGCTATCAGTAGGTTTTGCTTAAATATCTTCTTCGTCATTTGAGAGGTTTTCACTTTTTGTGAATCTTCAATAACTTTTATTAATTTCTACTATTTTCATATTTTGATATAAGTATGCCTCTGGTAAAAATATGCCATGATAGCCAGGTCCAAAATTTCCTTACTCGTTTATCTATATGAATACTCTACAACACATTTTAGGATTCTAGTAGAGTAACATTTCCCTAACGATTAAACATATGAAATGTTTAATAACTCCAGATACAGTATATATTCACAATCAGAAAACCTACCTTTCTTTACCTGAATTTTGTTAGCACTTTAATAATTTCCCCTTTTTCTACCAATTTATTTCTGAAAATTTTTTTATCAGAATATCCTGTGTCTGTTTTCTACGGAAAATTATTAATTACTAAAAACAAATCTTGTTTTTCTATCAGTACAAGGTTTGTAGTTATGATAATTTTTGAAACAGAATCTGTTTTAAAATAAAGATTTAAAATATTTTTAAAGCCCTTGTTTGTGGAATACTTCTGAACTGCCTATATAGTTGCAAAACAGGTTATAACCATTATAGTCTACCAAGTGTTTCCTAGTTTACCTTTCTTTCCAAAAGTTTCACACAAAACTGTCATCAAATCCCTTATGTTAAGTTCATCATTACTACAAAATACAGTCAGATTATAGTCACAATGTGTTATTTCAGAATGATTTGCACATACAAAAGACGTTAAATTTTTCTTACTGGGAGCTTGCTTCATTCTGTACTTATTTCTGCACTATTCCTAAAATGAGGATGGTATGAGATACGACCAAATATATTTTTTAATTTTATTAATTTATTTTGATTTATCAAGAATCACTTCCACATGCTTTTGAGTTGAAAATTTTTCTCCCCCTTCCTCCCCCCCACTCTCCCCAAGGCGGCGCACAATCTGATACAGGCTGTACATTTACATACCCATTAAACATATTTTCACATTAGTAAAGTTGTAAGTAAAAATTAAAACCAATAGGAAGAACTATCAGAAAAATGAAACAAAACTCAACAGAAAGTAAAAATAAGTGGTAGCGATTCAACTTCTGTAGTTCTTTCTTTGGATGTGGACAGCATTTTCCATCCCGAGGTTCTGGAGATGTCTTAGATCCTCGTAATGCTGAGAAGGGTTCAGTTTAACAATCTTAGTCACTGCATAACGTGGCTGTTATTGTGTACAAAGTCCTCTTGGTTCTGCTCACTTCACTCAGCATCAGACCATATAAGTCTTTCCAGGTTTTTCTGAAGTCAGCCTGTTCATCATTTCTTATAGCACAATAGTATTCCATTACATTCATATACCACAACTTGCTCAGCCATTCCCCAATGGATGGGCATCCTCTCAATTTCCAATTCTTTGCCACCACAAAAAGAGCTGCTATGAATATTTTTGTACATGTGGGTCTTTTTCCCATTTGTTTGATCTCTTTGGGATATAGCCCTAGAAGTGCTATTGCTGGATCAAAGGGTATGCACAGTTTTGTAGCCCTTGGGGCATAGTTCCAAATTGTTCTCCAAAATGCTTGGATCATTTCACAACTCCACCAACAATGTATTAGTGTTCCAATTTTCCCACATCCTCTCCAACATTTATCATTTTCCTGTTTTGTCGTGTTGGTCAATCTGATACATGTGATGTGGTACCTCAGAGTTGTTTTGATTTGCATTTCTCTAATCAATAACGATTTAGAGCATCCTCTGACCATTTCTCAATTGGGGAATGGCTTGTGTTCTTATAAATTTGTCTTAATTCTCTATATATTTTAGAAATGAGGCCTTTATCAGAAAGACTGGTTGTAAAAATTCTTTCCCAATTTTCTACCTTCCTTCTAATCTTAGTTGCATTGGCTTTGTTTGTGCAAAAACTTTTCAATTTAATGTAATCAAAATTATCCATTTTGCTTTTCATAATGTTCTCTATCTCCTGTTTGGTCATGAATTCTTCTGTTCTCCATAGATCTGATAGGTAAACTATTCCTTGTTCTCCCAGTTTACTTATGGTATCAGCCTTTATATCTAAGTCATGAACCCATTTTGACTTTATTTTGGTATATGTGAGATTTGGGTCTATGCCTAGTTTCTGCCATACTCTTTTCCAGTTTTCCCAGCAGTTTTTTTCAAAGAGTGGGTTCTTATCCCAGAAGCTGGGGTCTT